TTACCAATTCCAGGAGTTTTGTTGTTGTTTTTGATTCTTTCAGATTTTCACAGAGACAATCATGTTACCTGTGAAAAAGATATTGTTTCTTTCCCAGTCTGTATACCATTCATTTCCTTGTCATGTCATATTGTGTCAGCTATGACTGCCAGTACAATGTTGAAAAGGAGTGGTGAGAGGGATATCCTTGCCTTGTTCTTGATCTTAGTGGAAAAACTTCTAGTTTGATCACTTTAAGTATGATTTTGGCTGCAGGGTTTTTGGTGGGTTTTTTGGTAGATATTCTTTATTAAGTTGAGGAATCTCCCATCCATTCCTCATTTACTGAGAGTTTTTATCATAAGTGGGTGTTGGATTTTGTCAAATGTATTTTCAGTGTCTATTGATATGATCATGTAACTTTTTGTTTTTAGTCTGTCGGTGAGATAGATTACATTGATTTTTTTGTGTGTTCAACCAAATAAATCCCACTTGGTGATGGTGTATAATTCCTTTTATTTTTGATATTAGTAATGTATGTTCTTTGTCTTTTTTTCTTAGCTTCACCAGAGGTTTATCAATTTTACTGATCTTTTCAAACAACTAGCTTTTCATTTCATTGATTTTTTCTATTATTTTCCTGTTTTCAATTTCATAATTTCTTTTTTTGTTTTTGTTTTTGTTTTTTTTATCTCCAAAAAATTTTATTAGCATGATTAAAAACATTTTCTTGCATAATAACAGAAAGAATTTTTAAACATGAAAGAGTATCAGTGGCTATACCTTATAATCAGTATTTGCAACTGAATGGACAGCTTTATTGCCAGTCTCCATTTTAGTAAAAACAATCCATTTACTGGTTCCATGAAGTCATGACTATTGCTTTTTCTGGGAATGAGTCCCTACTGCAATTAAGTATAAAAAATATCTTCCATCATAATTGGAGTGTGACCTGCATTGGAGTGTGACTCTGAGTAAAGAGTTGGTAAAAATCCACAAAGAGTTGGGTTTTGTTTTTTAAAAACATTCCTTTTAGACACTACAAAGAAATAATTAGTATTTTGGCTTTTAAAATTCCTACATGATATTTAGAATGACAGTCCCCAAAGGCCCTCCCTTCACATAATTGTTAACACAGACCCTCTTCTGGAAGGTGCATCCTGGAGGGTACGAACTCTGAAGACTTCGACCTCCAATGTTTATACTGGTTTGAGAACAAAGACAGCGTCATCCAGAACATAGTAGTCATTATACATGTCGCCTTCACACAGGTACGGCAGTCTGGTGAAAGCTTCGATAACAAAACCAGCTTTTCTGAAAACTTCAGGCAGACTATTCACTTGTTCTTCCCAGTTCTGTCCTTTGATTTCCAAAATTTCTGATGGTTTCTCCCACTTGCCACCGTTTTCTACATAAGGATGGAAGGGTAGGACCAAGGCAAGGATGACCCTGCCTCTGGTTGGCTCCAAAACACTTCTGATATCTTTTAACAAAGTCAGGGGCTGATCACAGCGGTCCAACAGATTCAAGCAGCTGATGACATCATATTGGAACCCTGTATTCTGCCATTCATTTATACCGAGTACTCTGTATTTCTTTTTCTGAAGCTGCCATATCATGGTTTCAGAAAGCTCAGTGGCGTAGATTTCTTCAAAATGAGGGCTCATGATTTTTGTGACTTCTCCATCTCCAGCACCTAAATCAAGAAGTCTATGGGTTTTCCAGTCCGGATTAATTTTAAGCAGTCTCTGAAATTGATCTGGTGAAAACACAAACATTGAGCCTCTTCCTAACAACCCATTGATAGATGTTCTAGACATAAACAGGCTAAAAACAGATGACACAAAAGAATGATATAATTGGATAAATAGCCAGCCCGATTTCTCAATG